AAAAAAAATGAGGCAAAGTTGAGGCTTTATAATTTGGTTGATATCATCTCTTAAAATTGCTTCAGAAGTTATTGCACCGCCTTTGCTCTGCAAAACACATCAAGGACAGGCTAATTAAATTACGGAGTGCTTAGGCTTTCCGCGGTCTGCGCATACATGGGCCATCCAAGGACTAGGCGTAGCGTGTCTGAATGATGAGGTTAAACCCCAATCAATTTTGTTTCCTACTTCTGTTCATGTTATGGATTGTCTGTCTCGTTATCGCCTTTTTACAAAACAAAAACAAAAATCTGAACAAAAGACACACAAAGAAGCAAATGCTTTTCCACTTGAGGGAGTGATAGAGCAATTGCGATTATTTACTATACTGCTGTATATTTTGCCACCGCTGAACATGAGCTGATAACGGCAACTAAAATAATCGTCCAAGAAACATCATGTGTTAGCGAGCGATTGGAATCTCAATTGCAAAAACCAATCACACTGCCTCGGTGATTATCAACGTAGGACATTCATATAAATACCCTGACAGTTTTCAATTGAAAACAAAACAAAGCATGTTAGAATTAGATATCGTTTCTGTACCAGGGTTTGTATTGTTTTCTGTTGATTTAACAGCCGGATACCCGATAGTCACAAGCAGAAATTTCAGTTTGATTTGCATGGAAAAACTGGAAATAATATTGAATCTATACAAAATGCTGTGTTATGGAAAACCTTATCCTTTTATAAAGCCTTCGCCATCTGTGTACGAGGCGATAGTAATCTACCAATCATCCACCTGTGCGTAATTCTGACAATCTGACACTGGAGATGCTATAACGAATCTACGAGCTAAAAGGCTAAGTTGCTTTTAGGCCAAAAAGGGAAAAGATTCGGACTCGAGCTGTTTATAGTCTCACTTCGCAGTAAGTGAGACTTGCATCAAATCACTTTACATTGCTATGTAGGACCTAAGTAAAGCAGTCTGAATAAGCAATATTTCGAGAAAAACTAAAGCTAGACATCGTTTTGGGAACGAAATAAGAAATGATAGTTCAGAGAAAACCTTTGTTTATAAATTTGAATACGAACACGAAAAGAGGACTGACTGGTTAGTTTGCAATGGTCAAAACGCTGCATGAGAGGGATTACGATTTACCATTTCACCGAGAGGGTGACGTTGATAGCTCTAGATCAATCCACTTTACCTCTTCGCAACCAAGATGAGTTTGGGATTTTTTTCGTTGAAAAAGTCGCATGTATAGTTATTAGCCAATTGTAGAGTGTAAGCCAACTGCCGCAAACTTTTTCAAAATCAAGCAAAAACATATCCTTTCCACTAGGTTTTCGATCAGACTAAACATTTAAGGAAGGGATTTGTTGCTGTTTGAGTTTGAAAAACTTTGCGGCAGTTGTCTCACACTCTGCAATTGGCTAATAATTATACACGCGACTTTTTCAACAGAAAAAAAAAAAAAAAAATAAAAAAAAAAAAAAAATAAATATGTATTTATTAATTGAAATTATAATGATAATAATAATAAATCTAATAGACAAATATTTGGCTTTTTAAGACCATATTTATGCGCCACAATCATGGTTCGGATACATCCGCTTTAATAATTGCACGCAAGGATGACAGGTACCCTTTTCGTGCGACTGAAGTGGATAGTATTTCAATTTTATTGTGGAAAATTACCTATTTTACCATTATTGTATGTAACTTTCATAAGCGCCGCTGGTCAAGTGAAAATTACGAAGTTTTCTTTGGAAACAAGAGACCAAGGCGTTTTATTGCAATGCTAAATATGCGAGAATTTCCCATTAGTAAGTTTATGACTGAAGGCGTCGCAGCCGTCGGATGACGTCAGTAAAAGAAGTAGCCATGATTCTCGAATCCTTGAGTCTGTCTTAATTTTTCGTTTTCTCGTTTTCGTCTGTCTCCTTGACCTAATAATTCTCGTTTTGTCGGGATTAAAATGAAATATTTTATTACCCTTTGATACCACTAGGGTAATGTTTAACATCCTTGTTCTACATCCTTCAATCGCTTTCCGCGGTCAGCTTGGCTAATTTTTAGTCTCTCAAGAAAGTCTCTATTCGTAAAACGCCTCTTAAGTAGCGGAGGAGTTAAAATTCCAATTGTTTCAATTGTCTAAGTAAAAAAAAAATTTTTTTTGTCTTTTATTTAGGGGTGCCAAAAAAGGAAATATATTATGATTAGATGGAGGTTTAACCTACACCTACTGTGTTGAACACTCTTGGTTTTTTTTAATCATCATTCATTACACATCTCTCAGTGCCGATGTCATTAACACAAATACGTCAGTGTGTAGAATTAAAAAAAAAAAAAAAAAAAAAAAAAAAACAGTGGTGCGACTCATTGACTTGTCGTCCGCTATTTCAAATTAAGACAATAGCAAATGTGAAAACTATTTTTTTGGTGTTAAGGGGCAGTTAAATGAAAAAAAGTACCCAGGGTGAGAAAAATTTTTGTTCCTTTATAACGAACACACACACCCACACACACAAAAACAAAAAAACAAAAAAAACATCCGCCTTGAGCAATTTTTAATTCATAGCCACCTGCCCCTTCATAGTAGTTTCCGTGACACTTTCGTATATGAGAAATAATTATTCTTGTCATGTCTTGGTAATGTCTAAATTTATAAAGGAAATACAGACCCAGTTATTCGATTTAGTACCAACAAACCCAAGGAATATCGTGTTAGAAACTCGCGCCTAGTTTGGTCTCTGCTTTATTCCTTGTTCGCTTAAGATCTAACGTACCACTGAGTCTGAAGTCTGTCCAAAGCTATTGAAGAAAGACCAATACCTTCATCATTGCTTCACGAGACGGTGAACCCAAAAATGCCGAATACGTATCTGAAAGTACGAAAGAAAACTCTAGCCAAATTGTTCAGGAGAATGGTTTTTCTTGCACTAATGGTTGGTGAGTATGAAAAACTCATCTGTTAACCTTTAAGTATGTAAACTTTTAAAGAAGACTCGATGTATTAAATAATCTATTGGTTGTATGTTGTACTTTCAGTTTTGCTTTTATTTTTTTCGGAGCTCTTTAAAGCTCTCTTAAGAACTCTTTGAAGGGAAAGGAGAGTCTAAAAATTTTACTTCTGTTGAAAAAATTTTTCCTCAGGAATTTGAAAATAATTTCCGTTTTGTCCAGTTCGGAATGGAACCCAGACAAATGCGGTTAAAACAAATAAATTCTACTTTCTACTACTCGCCAAACACTGAGGCGCCATTTTTAGTAAGATCGTTATCCTAAGCTAACAATGTTTGACAACGGGAGACTTCCTGACGCTCCTCGTGTAACATGAGGCTTTGTTTACATGTCTGAAACAAAACTTGGAGAAGCAGACCTACGATTAATTTTTCCCAAAGTAGGTTATGGGCTTATTTCTCTAAAATACTCTTACTATCGATTTTGCTTCGTTCACTTCCATTTTTACTCATAATTTATAAAAGTAAAAGAGTGAATTTCCTAGGTCTAGTGACCTCCATTAGGAAAAGAAAGCATACAAACTATAAAGGTCTATTTACAATTAAATATTATGATAAAGTTCACCCTAAGGACAAAAGATTACAACACCACTTTTAATCATAAAAGGGTTGACAATAAACTGCCATCGTTTTTCTTTTTCGGTTTGCATCAAACCGAAACTTGCAAACAACTTTAACGTTTCGTTTGCATGAGTTTTGTGAAAAATGTTTATTTTGTCGTTGCCTACTCATTTGACGGATAATCTTCAAGTCTCTCATATCTCATTTGGTGCATGCCAACAAGGGCTGCTTTGAAGACGTTGGCTAGAAAACACACGGGTCCAAATGGTCCGTGCTCAGTAATACTCCGAAGCCTGGTCCCAACAGTTTCAATAATAATTTACATCAATTAGCGCCGCGCCGTTTTTTGTAAAAACCAAAAAAACTGTTACTTGAGAAGCAAAGATTTTATTTCAGGAGAATTAGTTATCTTGGATTCCAGATGGAGGCGATCACCAAGTAAATTCATTTCTTGACAGCATATAATCTTTTTTTCTGATGGCAGCTCACGTCAGTTGCCGCAAGACCACCACTCGCGATTTCAAAGACGTCAGCGAGTAAATTGAGTTTTGAGTGTAATACGGACGATTTTAACCGCAGTTGCCCCTATATGGTTGACTAGGAAGTCCCACATCTCCATTAGATACCCTATTATCTATGCTATTGATTCCCTTAGCCCCACCCCCCCCCCCTTGTTTCGATATGGTTGTGAATTGGGGAATTATTTCTTTTGGTTTTGTCTCTATTACAGCTGGTATGACCATGCCAATTTCAGCACAAGGTATGTATTGTCTCAGCGAAAAAAAAAAAAAAAAGGCAATCAGAAAATTATAAATGTTCAACATTGTTCAACCAGTTACAACCAGTTAACCTCTGCCGTCACAATGACTTATCTGTTGCTAAATAAATATTAACAAGCGACCTATTCAAAAGAATCGCCAATATGTTATTGCTTGTAATTATCCAAAAGAGAGGGAAAAGCAAAGAAAAAACATCAAACTCAAAGCGGGACCCATCCTAAACAATTAAGAAAAACTGCAGAAAAAAAGAAAAAAAATGAAGTTTCTAAACATCCTAATAATCTTTTCTTTTTTTTTTTTTTTTTAATGTATTCTTCTATACAAACTCTCGATACCAACCACTCACTACATCGTTCAACGAGTGGAAAGTTAGAAGTGAGAAGTGAGAAGTGGAAACTGACACACACAAAAAAAACAAAAACAAAAACAAAAACAAAAATAAAAACAAAAACAAAAACACAATCACACCCACAGCCACACAAACGGAAACCGAAACTACAATGCGTTATTTACCGCTAGAGAAAAGAAGGTGGGATTGAATTCGAGCAGTGAAAGGATATTCGAACAGTAAAAAGGTAAAGAAATCAAGCGGAAAACAAAAAAACAAAAAAACAAAACCAAAACAACAAAAAAAACAGCAACAGTACTTAATAGTCTCTAATTAATGTTTACGTATCTAACGCAGATGGGCATTGCTCCCGCCCTAATGATACACTCGGACCTTTGGAGCTGAACCCTCCAGGCTGTCAGCAGCATGTTCAAGAAACGCTTCAGTACTGGCATAGGATAAAATGTGGCAATGAGACACCTACATCTATTGACAAAATCTGTTGTAGCTATTGGTGTGAGCAGTTGACTTCTTGTTTCAGTCAGGAGCGTTCTTGGAAAGAAGACTGTGTTAGAATGTGGAGGTGCAGGAAAAATGAAAAACCTCGCGAACAGTTTTCTATTATATTGACAAATAAAACAGACTCGTCGTATTTGGGCAGAATAAAAGTGAAACAGTGCTGGGCGAGGAAACCGAAATTTCCTGCCATTAAGCTAACACCATCAAGCGAAGTACGTGTATTTTATTTTCTTGTAACATTTTTGGTGCCTATTGTCATTGGTCCTTTCATTTCACCCCATAGAGTGTAGAAACCAATCCCCCTCCTAGCCCCAGTTCGCGCAACTATCGATAGAAATTCCACGTTCGCGCGGATCATACAAATGAGAGATGTGAGTTCGAGTTGGAATGTTATGGCGAGTAAGTTCTTTCTTATGTGGTTGATATTTCCTATTTTATTCGTATTTCCTACGTAATTTCCAGTCTTGTAATCAGTTGTTCCATTCCTAATGTATTGTGTTCGTAATACTTTCCTTAGAAACCACTTGCAATGACCTGTAGATAGAAGCCTTCGACGTCAAGAAATTAAACTCCTCTCAAGTGTATTGCTGGTGCCTTGATTAAAGAAAGCTTTTCCTCAGACTATGTAACCCATGAATTTATCAATTCCTTTAAGAGTTAGGCTACTGAAGGTTATGTTTAAACCAACTAATGATACCTTATTAAGACTTTTTTTCGCCTTATCAGTTTTCAAACAAGAAACTTGTTGACACTATCCTAAAAGAAGTGATCGGCTCTTCTGACATTAACATAAATCAAGAAAAGATGGAACGCACTTTCCTCGCTGTCACTGATTTGGAGGAGTTCATTGGGAATTATGCTCAAAGTCACCTTAATCAAACCGTACCTAAGATTGACATCCGTAGTGAACATGCAGGTGAGTAGATCTTAAAAGTTTATTTGGAAGTTTTCTTGCTTTCTCATTAGGAGTTCAGGATGAATACATGCATAATTCGTGGCAGATTTTAGAAACACTTGCTAACGCTACCACTTTTTCGACGTTTTGGGTATAAGCTTTGTCTGTAACAACTCTCCATCCAATCATTTTCGCGACACATGAGACGTGTTAGACCTGTTTTAAGGCAGTTTATAGGAGCGAATTCCTATGGCTCAGCAGTTGTCTTCAATTCCAAGAATTCTCTCTATTTTATATATGTTCTTCAATATCGTCAAAGCTATGAATAAGTTATAAAGGAGTGAAAAAAATGAATAAATTAATTAAGAAAATAAAAATAAGAAACCATTCGAATTCACTGCAGTGATATGTTTTTTTTTTAATTTAAAAATGGTTACCAGCACTTTATCTGACAATTGAACAGAGAACGCTCCTTTGACTGGTGATCCTTGCAAACTACTTGCATTTACTACTTCTAAGTAATGGTTCTTCAGCCTTTTAGTCCTAAAACTCTTGAGGACGATAACTTGTGACTACTATGAAAGCATCCGTATTCATTTTTTACCTCACTTAAAATAAGTCGCTGTTTTGAAACTAGATATTTTGGTCAGGAAGATTTTCCACGAAAATGAGACTGGAGCACAACTTGAGGATGATAAAGGAGAAAACTATGTCAGCCTTCCTGTTACAGGCTTCGATAACGGTTAGAGAGCTATAATTTTTCATTTTTTTTTTTTAGCATAGAAGATGATATATTTCTTTCGTATTATTCAAACTATTCTAACGATTATCATTGTTATTGGGGGCTGGATTTCAAGCAATAGAAAAAATATAAACCAAATGGCTGATACCTTAATCTGGTTTTTTTGGTTTTCTTTTATTATTATATTTGATTTTTATTACACAGTTGGGCATACCAATGAAATGTGCCAATAAACTCGCAGGGTCTTCAAGCCGTGGTAACCTGTCCTTTTTCTCAATATTCTTGAAACATTGAAATTGTTTCCATTCTTACATCTTAGGATCAGTTGTACTTTGTGTCATTTATAAGGATCTCCATAAAGTATTCTTAAAAAACCAGACCGACTCTGCTCCTGTCAAAAATTTCAGGTTTGCTAAAAACTTAGTATTGCATTCAGCATCATTTATATAAATATATCTATTTCGGTGTGCTAGTATGATAAGAGAGTTTCCCTAGACCTAAATTTGAATTACTTTCTTGTTTGTTTTTTGTTTGTTTATTTCGTCTTGATTCTCTTTTGTCTTTTGTCGGTCTGTTTGTTTATTTGATTGTCTTTTTTTTGTTTGTTTTGTTTTGGTTTTTGTTTTTGTCTTTTTAATTTTTTTTAATTGTTTGTTTTTATTTTTGGAATTCAACAGTAATATCTTGTCTGCAACGATATGGCCGAAGAACAACACCTTCAGGAAGAATATTACGTTGAGATTTAGAAACCTAGCGGTAAGTTACGACTAACAAAGAGAGAGCGGCATCTGAATTCGTAACTCTGTAAAGGAGTTTGAACAGCGATGATATTTCTCGAAAACTGAGATTAAAATTTGGGAATTAAAACTTCCTTTTGCATCCCTCTGTTCCATTTTGGTCTCGCTATATTTGTTTTGTTTTGTTTTGTTATTTTTTTTGTTGGTTTTTTTTTGTTTGTTGTTTCTGTTGTTGTTGTGTATACTACTGCTTTCGTTTTTTTTTTCTTTTCCTTTTGGGTGAGTGTTTTTGTTTGACTTTTGTTGTTGCGTTTCTTTTTTTCTTTTATTTTGATTTGATCTGATTTGTTTTATTTTGTTTTTCCTTACTATTTCTATTATTATTTTTAATGTTATTATTATCATCATCACTATTATGTTTATTATTATCATCACTAATATTATCATTAATGTTATCAACATCTTATTACGTCAAAGTCTTATTTTTTTTAGGGAGTCTCTTTAAAGAGAGGGGAACTAGATTAGAAATGTATCTAATGTGATGGGGAGGGGTTTTAAAAAAATTCCGGCGAGAGCACTCCTACCTCCACACAAGCCAGCGAGTCGCTGCACTACGTAACAATAACGGTATTTTACGGTTTTAGGATGCACCGAACAGAAGCTGCGTGTTTTGGAACACTTCAAAAAACAGGTAAACAGCTTCAAATGAATTGATTACATCGTTCACTTTAAATTATCAATTTGCATAAGGAGTTTGCTTTTGTGCACTGGTACATCACACTGTGTGGTCACCTCTTACTCCTTCTTTTTCTCCTTCTCAGGCTTCCACGTTCTCAGCAGTCTATAAAGCCGGCAGTTGCAATTGTTTTGTTTGTTTTGTTCATTTCTGACTGTTTTATGCTGTCATTCTAGTTGGTCAGGACAAGGGTGTCTCTTAACATCGAGGAACGAATCTTACACCGAGTGCAGCTGCAATCATTTGACTCACTTTGCAGTTCTTATGCAGTTTGTCAAGGGAACTAGTAGTAATGTTTTAACTAAGGTAGGAATATTGCTTAGCATACATGTACTGATTTCAGAAGGAACTAAGACCAGACAGCATTGGCGTGGCACTTTTTCGTACATCTGCACAGTCCAGGTAGATGGTGTGCAGCCCTCTTCCGTTACCTGTATTAAGTCACCGTTTTTGTATTCATTTTTAAGACTGACGAAAGAGCGCTGGAAATTCTTACATACGTGGGCTTGTCTCTTTCTCTGGTTGGAATCACTTTAACGATCATCAGTTATGCTGTTCTTACGTAAGTACATGACATAGTTCCACGCAAGCATTCCAAAGGAAGCTGAGAATATAGACCAACAAGAATTTATATCAGTTTAAATGTGTAAAGTTTAGATTCCTTTAAGCAGCCAAGTCGAATCATAAAAATATAACCAGGTTTTCTATAAAATGAGGATAGAACTCATGTGGAATAAAATCGGTTGTTTATTTTTGATCAGAGACATGAAGGGACCTTTATCTCAGACACGAGTGAGTCTAGTCGCTTCACTTGGTGCAGGTCAAATTATCTTCCTGGCCGGAATTGGTGCTGTTGAGAACAAGGTGAGATATTGTATCAAACGAGAAGAGAAGAATCTCTTTCGGTAAATCTTAACGACATTAATCCAAATCTTAACTCAACGTTTTCATTCATGTGCAGTCTACCTGTGTTATAGTAGCAGCTTTTGTACAATATTTCCTAATGGCCGCTTTCTGCTGGATGTTTATCGAGGGAGTTTATCTCTACCTGTTTGCTGTCAAAGTTTACAACATCAACGACAAGATGAAGATTTCACATGGATTTTCATGGGGTAACTATGAATTAAAAATCCACTCACTCTTTGATAATCTATGGGAAAGTGAAACATGAATTACCATGTACATTAACATCACCATCATCATCTTAGATATCATCATCATTTGACTCTGTTGTCACTTCGAATTTGGAATCCACAGGTCTACCCGCCGTCGTTGTTTCCATATCGCTGGGCATTGCAGCAGGAACCGGACCGGGGATTAAAAGCTATGTCAGCGAAACTTTGTAAGAAGAGAATTATATATTTCTCGTGTGATTTCCCTGTCGCTAATCCTCGTTTTCTGTTGTATTTCAATATTTGTTTGTTTGTTTGTTTTGGTTGAATCGATTTATTGTTGCTGTTTTTGTTTGGTTTGTTGTTTTGTTATTTCTTTGTTGTTTTTTTCTTACTTGTCATCAAACCCGACATGGAGGGTACTGTGTACATGCATACACAAAAAAAAAATTAATTAATTGATAATTTAATAAGTTTCGGATTCTTGATTTTTATTCAGCTGCTGGATGTCATCCTCTAACGGCATGATCTGGATATTTGTTGTATTCGTTGTACTGATCGAGTTGGTAAGTTGAATTCTTATAATTTATTCATTTCTCTCTTTCACGCTTTGCCTTCAGTTATCATTGCATCGTGAGCATTTTTTTTGCTTGCTGCTTTTTAACCTAGACTCTATTCAATAGTTGCCAACGAAATCTGAAATATGTATGAAATATAAATTTTGCTCGAAGTGACCTTATTGTAGGGAGATCCCGTCAGCGGTAACCGCGAAAGATTTTCAGGTTGAGTAGTCCTGGTTCGAGTCTCGCCCAGGTTGTTGTTTTGTGTTGTTAGGTGAGTCGAATGACGAGGAGGGGGAAGGTTTAAACTTTTTACGAACATCCAATGAGGCCGCTGGGGGAACTTAGCTCAAGTGCAAACTTCTCTTTCCTTTGTATAGTTAGATTGTTTTTTGTTTTGTTTTGTTTTCAGTTAAACACATTGATACTGGTGCGAGTTATCAAGGAGATGACAAACATGCAGCATGCCAAAGACAAAATCAGTGAACAAATAAGGTAAGCATTTCAGCGGCGCCAGTGGTAAATTCATATAAGCCATTAGTCTCTTACTTTGCTGCCTTATACGAATAATGTCAACTCACATCAATGGTAAAAACAAATTATCTTGATTATAATTTTTTTCTCCGTGATTTTATAGACTTGGTGTCAGGGCATGCGTGTTGTTGATTCCTTTGCTGGGGATTACATGGCTATTTGGTCTTCTGTCGCCCCTGCACAAAGGGTTTGCCTACATTTTCACAATTTTCAACTCCACTCAGGTAAACTGAATACATCTTTTAGTGAAAGAAATCCTTGCTCATACAGTATCAACGTAAACGGGCGGTTGGTGGATTCACCACTGAATTATATTTCTGTGTGAAAAATGAATCTTGACAAACATAAAAGTCAGTGCTCAGAGTGCACCTCCTCTCAAGGTACAAGTTCACCTGGCCCATGTTTTTCATGCCAAATGTCAAACAACTTTCGAATTATCCCATTAATACATACTTGTAAAACACACCCTAAAGGGCTGACGAACTTTTAACAGTTACAGCGTTCTTTAGTAAACAGTGTTGAACCCTTTAGCTTCCAAGATATCATTAGTAATTCTCCCTACTCTCTCCTATACAATTCTTCTAATTTTACTTCCGAGAATTTGGTATTGGATCAGCTAATAACCCCCTAATTGATACTTTCTTGGTTCTCATCACTTGTCTTCTTGATTTTGTATTGTTATTGTAAGGAGAAATTCTGTCTTGTTCACTCATGGGAATTAAAGGGCTGAACAAGGAAAAAAAGTGTGAAACGAAACCTTAATATAACAAAACATATATTATTTTCTATCAGTGGTCACAATTTTGCTTATTGAAGCAGAGTCGATTTAGGACATGACAAGAGAACACCAACGGCCTCGTAATCAAATACCTGAGATGATAAACGTTTTCTTGATCTATTTATATTCCTCTCCATATTCCTGAATCGTGTGAAAAGTACCGCATAAAAGCAAGAAGTTGTACTTTCCCTTCTTTACAAGTTTACCAGGTGGTAAACTTAGTGTAATACAGAGGCAAAGTAGAGAACCTGTGATTAATAGCAATAAAGGTTTGGACATTTTTGCTGCCCAACAATATTTAATACTGTGAGGTTTAAGGTCAGGGGAGCTTGTATGAAAGCACTTCGAATCTAAAAAGGCGTTTATGTGATTTCCCGCGTTGTGATTTCACAGGGCTTCTTAATATTCCTCCTTCACTGCGTGAAAAACTCAGAGGTATGTTATCAAATTTTATTTTGAAGTCTCTTTGTAAGCATTAGATTTTTTCTCAGATTTTTACCTGGCAAGGCTTCCACTTTGAAATGAGAAATTAAATTCGATGGTTGTGTATATGCAAAGCTCATAGAGTGGTACAATCATCTCATTCATGCAGATTAGATCTCGCTTCAAAGGAAGGATCAATGGTGTCACCCCAACTACAGATGAAGTAATAGGCATTAAACGAGCTGCGCAAGTAAATGAAACTATCAGCGTGATATTGTCAAGGAAATAGAATGTCCAGCCTCGCAATAACCATGAAAGTGGCATTGAAATCTGTGAAATCTGAGTCGTCATCGCAGTGTTGTTTTTTAGCTTAGATCTGTATATATCTTAAGTTAAGTTCGTTCAGAAAATGTGAGAGCAAGTAAAAATAACCAGCTTCAGAAGGCTCTGACAGCTTTGTATCGGTCCGAAAAGTAATAAAAGAACGACTCAAGTAATCGGGATTTAAGGTCTCCTTCTTTGTGGAAAAAAGAGCATTGGATACAAGTTGTGTTAGGAAGGTCTAATCCATGACATCAGTTTACAGAATAATGAAATTATCATAAGCCACAATAAATTGTACAGCCCTTATCAAAAGAAAAAAAGTATTACACCATTGGTAATCAAGATATTATTACTCTTAACTGGGGCAAGGATTAAAAAAACAAAACAAAACAAAACAAAACTATTAGTATTTTTTTTGTCTCGGCAGTCACGTTTTTACCTGTGTAATTGTTTCAGAATTTTTCCCCTTGGAGTGGCGGTTGAAAAATATCTCCTCGTTAACTCTAGGAGTCTCCACTCTGATAAGTCCATTTCTCCCAAAACACGCACCATAGCTTAAGAGTTGAGCATCGGACTCTGAATTTTTGAGAATGGAACTTAATTCATTCAAAAAAGCTCTCTCAATTTGTCATATGTCCGAAAAAAAAACTTTATTCACTTCCTCATTTAAAAGTGCATAATTAATATAATTTTAATGAGGAGCGTTTAATGTCTGGATCGAATCTTTTCGTGGAGCAACAGAAAAAATTGTATAATAAGCCTTGGTATTTATTCTTCTTCGCTTCTAATCATTTGAAGTTGCCCGAAGTTGAAGGGCATTCAGGAGGAAAAAACTGCCCGGCAAAAAGGCAATGTTATTTCTTTAACACTGATCCATACTGAAACATAAAATACAGATATTCCTGCAACACAGTGAAAAGTTATGGAGAATTGTATATATTTTACTGGCGAACTTGATTACCCTGATAACTGACACTAAGGTCAATCGAGTGTTTGCATAATATGACTTCATTTTTCGCTTCTTCACGGCGACGCTTTTCAGCCGGGGATGTTTGGGATGCCATTCTCCTCCAGCTTGTCCTTGCGGGTGTTACAAGCATTTGAAGATTTTGGTATGTGGTTGCTTAATCCGTGTTTCAACTTTACTCTTACAAATTGGTACTCACATAAAATTATGCTGTGCAATACACCGTAAATAAATTACTGACGGTTAGAAACTAAATTAGGCAAGTAGAAATTATCATTCCGTTCCTTTTGCGTTATATTTCGAGGAAAGCAATTTGTATATCCACACGGTTGATGTTGAAAAAAGCCTAAAGACACCGGCTCTTTCTCGAAATGAAATTAATACTAACCTAGAACAAGCTTACACTGTGTTTGCCCGCGTACTTACTGAGCTGATAAGGTTTGCAAATATCTTTCTCATGTGAAATCGAATATTTAAAACGTAAAGGTGTTAACTGAGGAAAAGAAAAAGAAAGTGGACGACCATATAAAACCGTTTATGTGAATGCTTGATAAAAAATACATATTAATTGATGAATTTATGAAATCCCCAGCCCATCCAAGCTATGGCGAATTTAATACCCATAGGAAGCCAAACAATTTTGACAAACCTGCTATACGCAGGTTGACATAATATTAACGGTGGTATCAATCTTTTTGGATCCGCGATGCAACTGGGTCAAAACAGGGTATGAAACATTTTCTTCCGAGGCGACGTTGAACCAAAAATACAAAAAAACAAAAAAACAAATTGAAACATGGATATTTAAGCGATAAGCTGCAATTTAAAAATGGTTCAATTTAATACTTCAGTTCCCCTTTAACTATTTACTTTGTTTCGTGATTGCCTTGTTTATGCCTTCTCTCCACGTCCCCAGCCCCATTAATAACCAACCGAAAAAAAAAATCTTTATATCTCTAAGAACAATTCATTTACTTTTTGTGTCGAAATAGATTCGGGAGTAAATTGATAAACTTCATCTTCAACTTGCTGATTTTTGGTTTTATTTGCAACATATATGATGTCGATTTCTGAGTACCTAAAAAATTAAAAAGTGCCATAGTAACGAAAATCACAAGTAGGTGTTCCAGATATGTGGTAAATGTAAAAAGCACCACAGTTTCTCACGCTGATGTATTGTGACCATAAACATCAGTTTGAACTTCAGTGAAAGCAGGCCAGTCTACTGACCTGACCATCATATGTGACCATTATTAAGGACGAGACTAAGTGCGAAGTTGTTCTCGTCGGTATAACGAATAAAGTGCCGTGGTGGTGGAAAAGAAAGAAAATTTCTCGAAATTCAGTGTGGGAGAGTGAAAAATTATTTTGGGGGGAGAGGCATCCACTAGGTAGTGGCGGCAAAGAAAAGAGAAAAGAAAAACTGTTCGATTTGCGCAAGAAAGCTGCAGTTATCAAGCAGATCCAACTAGCTGCCTATGCTGAAGACCGCAAAAGCTGTTGGCGGAGAAATTATAAACAAGTCAGGGCAAATTTCTGGTTGCTAAAATTTTCGATGCTTGGATACACAACCTCTGTAGCTTTCCAAAATTTTCATTCGTAGTTCTCATGCAGCCTCTGCCAAACCTGGCCTCAGTTTCTTATTGTTATCATTAATCGTTGCTGTTTTCTTTCTGATTCGTAGCAAGAGCTTACTGCAATTTGCGAAACGATCTGAACGAAACCTTTACCTGCGAAATGAGCTCAAATCTGCAATTAGCAAAATTGCGAATTGAAAAGCTACTTAGCATATAACATTTGAAACATAAACTGACCATTCTTCTGATTTCATTCCATCTTTGAATATTTTTTTTGTTGTAAATAAGGGCAATGGCATGAGATAGCTGCTATGTTTTCCTACTGAGGAGGAATGTGTGAGATTTCTAGTTCAAATAAAATGTCATGTCACGCATTCGAATTATCCATCGTAAACGCTCAAGTGAACATTTTGCAAAGTACGCCACGGAGATTTTCCTTTCCTTCTTTCTCAAGTTGTTATTATTTGTAAGGCTATGAATGTAATCCACGCTGGTAGTGAACTGACCGATTCATCCTGGCCGTTGGTGGCCTTATGTTGTCTACAATTCTACTGTTGTAAATTACAGATCTACATAATTTCCATTTCAAAAATTATAGAGTTTGAGTTCATTAAACAATCCACAGGCGTCAATTTCGTTTGAAAAACTATGATTTCGTTTCGTAAGCGACAGAAAGCCTTCGCTTCGGTTAAATAACGACATCGAAACAAGTGAGGTACGAACGAGAACTCTTGAATGTTAGAAAAGTGGTAAGTCCAAGCATGAAACATTTTTGGTACTGGAAATTTTCCCTCAGTTGTTTGTAATTTCTCCTCCAACAGTTTTTTTGCGGTCTTTGGCACAAGAGGCAATTTTGATCTGCTTCATTACTGCAGCTTTGTTTCATAAATCAAACATTTCTGCATTGTTTTGTTCCTTTGCCGCCATCTCTTCACGTGATGCCTCTCTCGCAAATAATTTTTTTAGGGCCTGTTTACATGTAGGTGAGGACTCGACCCCAGGTGGGTGAGGTAACCCGCTTAGCCGTGGTCGAAAAATAAAACGCGTTTACCTACAGGCTTACAACCCCGGGTTGCTGGGGTGAGGTTTCTTAAGGTTGTTGTTGCCCTTGCAATTAGGGAGTTTGAATATAGGCGTCCTAAGCTCAAGCCTCGAGAAAGACGAAAGATTCATTCTTGGACACGTATTTATTTATTCATGAAAGCGACACACGTTGTGTGACGCGGTGTTAGGCTACGCGAGGAACCGTTGACTTAATACGTCAAAAGGAATAGTTTGAAATATAGTCGATTTACAGCGCTTAATATTCCAAAATGTGAACATTTTACACTCCTTGTCTGTCCGTTACGGTTTGTAACCTGGGGTCCCCCACCTCCATGTGAACAGGCTCTTATTCTCCCACTTAGCCTGCAAAGCAGGCGTAATTTAGGCTGGAGAGTGCTAAATAATTTCATAACGAATATTATGGTCGCCATCTTTGATTTTAATGGAAGGCTGGGGAGAGGAAAAATTTATACCAAGGGGGCGGTCGACGGTCAAAAATAAGGAGATGGGTGGGGGTAGGGGAGTGAAGATTACGCCTGCCCGAAGTCATTCTTATTTTGCCAGACTACGTTCGCCCAAGAATGGAGTTCCTGATTAGTTCGATTAAGCCGCAGCTGTCAATCTGGAGACATACATACCTCCAAATGATTTAAACTTGTCAAGTCGCCATATTTAACACCACTGTGAAACATAAAAGTTGAAATTCGGTAGTGCACTGCAGAGGCTTTGGCGTTTCTTAAGCGTGCTAGCGTTGCTGTCGCTAAAGCAAGAGAGTTTATCTCTGGGCCGCACTCTTTGGAAGCATTCTGCGATAAACCACTTGCACCTCAAACGCAGTCAAACCAGAGGGGACAGAAAATTCTCACCTCTTTCATGAAAATTTTGTTCGAGAAACTAGCGAGCTCGTCCGAATTACGCGCCTCCAATATGCATCTAGATTTCAAGCAATACAGTAAATGGTTTGAACCCGTAGGTAACATGTAATAGTGTAGTTTGACTGACAACAACCTTTCACTTGACTTTGATGATGACTTCCGCTCAGGTTGTCGAAACGTCAGTCACCACTACCGACAACAGCCCTTCTCAGAACTACACTCACCCGGACGATCAAACTACACTATTAG